TACAGGGTTGTTTTTTTCAGGATTAACTCTCATTTGTACCCCAGTCTTATCATTCATCGCCTGTTTGCCATTTGAAATAGGCAGATAAATGGGTACAGTTATAAGTAAATGGTGGGTTTGTGTGTAGGGGAAAAAGTACAGTGCAAGTCCTGTTTCTTTTCCATACAAATGCTTTTGGTTATATTTCAGTTCTGAGCAGCACATTCTTGAAGTAGAAAAGACTATATATACACTTAACTGATGGTATTTCATAGGAACACCCTCTCTCTTCTGAAATTAAAATACGAGAGAAGTGTCAAAATTTCACGGCTTAAGAAATCAAAATTACTACATTCTTAATGAAGAAAGACTGTTGTTTAGCTAATGCTGTATTTTCAGGTATTATCTCTTCAGTTCTGTTAAGTGTCATTCTCACAGGAAATTCTGCAATTAGGACTGAAGTGTTCTTGTGAAAGTTTAGAAAGTTTCCAAAATGATAAGTATGCTCTCATCCTTTCTGCCAAGTTTATTTGTAATTAAGAGTGTCCATTTGATGAATAGGAAGTCCTGGAACTCTGGGTCCAATTTTTAGGGCATTTTGGATCTAGGTGTTAGGTTTTATGTGGGAAATTTAGTCAAGCTATTTTACTGTTTTAAAATACTTAGTTCATTGGGTAAAGAAAAAAGAAAAGAGGAAGTGAACTTGAATCACTGAAACTAATGATTACTAATGGTATTTGTAAAAGATAAGTAGAGGAAATGAGTAGTAATATATTTGGAATGGCTGCAGGTGGCATTCCACAGTCATAAGGGGAAACTGAGAATGGACTATGACTATGGCAAAGATGCCCTACTTTTTAGACTAATTTTATAGTTCTAATGCTTTATTCCTGAAGCATCAGACTGCTAATCTGACATCTAACTTGAACATGAGCTGTATTTTACGAGTTTTTGAACAAGATTACGCCCACAGTCTTAACTGTATTTTACTCTTACTCTGGGTGACCATCCATCCCAGTTGGCCTGAGGTTGGGAGGCTTCCTGCACCTGGGACTTCGAAAGTTGAAACCAAGAAAATCTCAGGGAAACCTGGACAGCCGGTCACCTTACTTTCATTTCTAAATTAATAGAATGAAGGTAATATTGACATGTTTAGAAAAGTATTTAATGATACTATAAATTCTTTACCCTTAAAGTTTAGATAATTGGAACTGGAAAATATTCTTTCAAGAAACCATTTCTTCTATAGAAAGTTAGCTTGATATTTTTGTTTAATTGCTTTGGAAATTTAAAGGTAAATTGATTTTGATTTTGTGGTCATTTAGGGAAAAAAAAAGGCTTAATTTACCCTTTATTCAGATAGATAACTCCAACCAGCAAGTTGACTTGCTGTTAATGAAAATGATAGGAAAAGAATAATGAAAATGCTAGGAATCAATTATTAATTTAAAAAAAAAGTCTTCAGTGTGGGAATTCTGGTAAGATAAACATTAATAACCAATGCTTTTTAAAAACACTGAACAAACAGGAAAATCATCATTTTCTTTGCACTTAGTTTTCTGACTTGTGTGATGTTTTTCTTATTAAAAGTAAAGTAAATAGCCCAGTGGTTGTTGCATAAGACTTTCTTTCCTTTTTATCTAGCCATACGTATGGTACTACCCTTGAATTTTTATATGATAGAACTTTAAAAAAATTTATCACCATACTTTCAATTTAGAATTTACATTTTTTTTCTTCCCTTTTTAAAAAAATAAGGTTAAACAAAATAATATGATCAGGAATCTAATTACAGACTTAGCGTGTGCTGTGTGCTCATCTTTGTTCTGAATTCACTTTAGGTATCAGCCTACTTTTCTGAACAAGGGGGCACTTAAGTTAATTGCTTCATTAGAAACATGCGTTTAGTCCTTTCTGATCTGTAAGTACAACTCCTTGGCATAGCTGCAGAAGTTTGAACACCTGCAGCCCAAGCCGCTTGAAAAGACTCCGTAACTTAGCTATAAAGGAAAATAAAAGAAGCTCAAGTTCAAAATGGTGTTATCAATGATATAGTGTTGTCACTAAGTTGAGCTGACCTAAGAGAGTTGGCTTCTGCACTGCTTCTTATCAGCATCCAAAAGGGCATACAAAATTCTTTGTAAACTAATTTAAAAAGCGTCTTGTTTATTCAGAGGCAACTGTGAATGGTATTTGTTCAGAGTGTAGATCACATCAACTGCATACCAGCCAACAACTTATTTCTCTTCTAAGAAGGAAGCCAAGTATCAAAGGCACAAAGTACTAAAGATAAGCTGCTCAATTCTCAACTGTTCTGAGCTCTCAATAAAGCTACTGATGTACAAATTGGGGTGGGACTCAACTGTTTCCACCTGCAGGCTTGTCTTAGCTCCTGGGCTCTGGCCGGGAGAGGTGCTGATACTAGTGCGACCTTTAGTGCCCTTAGAAAATAAAACACACACTTTCTTATGGCCCTAATCAATCAGTCCCTCTAAAGAGGATTCCACCCCTTTCTTCAAGTATTCTTGGGGCAGAAAAATTATGGCTGACTATTCCCATTTACAGGGCTGCCGAAAGCAAAGAGATCATTGGTTCACTCTTAAGATTCTTGAAAGACCTGGCAAGTCATCCTTTTTCCTATTTTTGTGGTTGGTTCTTAGATATTTTGTATTCGATATTTAATGAGGGGGTGACTTCAGTAAGTAGAAGAAAGAATTTCATTCAGAAGTCGTTCAAATAATATATTATCAGGAAATTAAAACTCAGTTGATACAGAGAAAACATCTGAGGCTACTGAGGCACAAAATATTTATAGGAGTACCTGAGTGGTCACATTTGGGCTATAAATGTTAAGTGCTTGAACATGACTCACGGCATCCAAAGTTTCAAATCTGAGTTTAGTAAAATAATGGAATCTTTAAAATAATACAGCTTAATTTTAGCTGTAAGTACCTAGAGTTGGTCAGAAAACTGGAAAATATTTGAAACACAAATAATTCAAAGATGTTATTAAAACTAATCTGATCCCTAAATGTCTTTTTAACATTACTGAGATGAAAGCCCTTTATGTCATTGTGAAAGTAGAATGAAGCATCTGGAATATTGAATTTTAAACTACTTTGTATAATTAGCAGTTTGTCACTTGTTTCAAATATGGTGAAAAATAGCAGCGAAACCAATTGCTGTTTTAGAGCAATTCTAAGTGCTGAGATTTTCTTTCACAAAGTTGCATTAATTGCTAACAATAGCCGTGCTTCTTGAGGCACATTTAAAAAGAAATAACCTGTGCCAGTGTATCTGGGTGTTTGTATATAAATTCAGGAGAGGCAAAAAGTGGCCTTCATAAGTAGTTTCTATTACCCTTCCCACTCCGAAGATGTGTGTTTGGGGCCTATTAGAATTAGGTAAGTCTCTAACTATGTGTCTTTTTCAGTGATTGGCATAGAAAAATAGTAATACACATTTTCCAGCAATTTTCAAATTTAAGGATTACAGAGCATGTGGGTAATTAACTGCATGTTAGGTGTTTTGACCAACTCATTTAAAAGAAAATATTCACAAATGGATAACGCATTTCAGAAGTAAGCATAGTGAGGCAAGAAAGACCTCAATGTAGGAAAATTTTTGGCTAAATGAAATATTTAAATATAATTATATTTTTTCAATGGTTATGATGTCAAACCTACAAATTTACATATTTTTAACACATAAACATGCTTAATTGATGTGGCTACAAGTATGGTTATTTTAAAACTTGGTCTTTTACTGGGAAGAATAGTAAACAGTCTTCTGAGTACACTTTAGGTAGAAGTTAGAATTATTGTTAATTTACCAATTTGGAGGTATCTTACACTCTTAATTTTAGATATTTTTTTTTCTTTTATTCTGGAAATCGCCCCGCTTCCTTGCACTTTTTACTGTAAGATAGAATAGCTCTAGCATTCTATAATTAAGCATCCCTCCCACTCCCAGAAGATAGAGATCTGTAGTAAGTTAGTTTTGTTTTGTGAAGAGCTGACAAAGTGAGTTTTTATTTTCATATTCAGTTGTGTGAAGAGCTGACAAAGTGAGTTTTTCATATTCAGTTGTTTTTATTTTCATATTCAGCTGTTAATTGAGAAAAATAATGTGCTTTATTTATGAAAATGTAATAGTTTTAAATTGAGAAAGCAAATTAAAACTGATTTAAAAATTTGCTTTTGTTAAAACTTAGTAGTCAGTGAAGTGCCAATTAATAATTTGCTTTTGGATTTTTATAGCATATTATATATGCTGGTCATAAAAATTGAAGCAATTTTATACTCTTCTCCCCAAATAAAAGATTGAAGAATTTTCTTTAGCTTTTTCAGGATTATCTAGGAAGAGATTCATGCTTTGTGATTAAAGAAAAATTCTCTCTAGTTTTTCATCTTTGGAAGTTTGTGCTTTGTTCCTGGTTTTGACTTTTTGTAATGTTTTTTTCTTTGCATGTTTGTAATTTTTAGGGTATTTTTGTTTTGCATGTTAGCTTCTACAGCTTAAGCATCTCTTAATGAAGTGCACGTGGTCAGGGGATATTCCAGTATTAGAAAAAATATAGTTACTTGCTTTGAACCAAATATATGTCGTACCACAGTTTGGTAAGTTTGAGGTCAATCTGGGGAAGATTCTAGAGTAAATTACCAGAAGAATGGTTTTTGAATTCATAGAAAAAGAACCTCTAATCATTAGAAATGGAAGTGGGATCAGTAAGAAAAGTCTTTACTCTTCATATTGTTGGATATAGTAATTTTTTTCAACATTCAACTTGGGCAACTCATTTGCCATTTATGGGCCTCTGTTTTTCTTATCTGTAAAAATTATAAATCAGTGTTGAATAGAACTATGATTTACTGAATTTTGTAGTTGGCGAACTGTTACATGTTTTTTTTTGTTTTACTTATTTCCTTGGTGCTTTGTGTAGCTGAGAGACCAATATACAAAACCACTATATGATAGTCACGGTTTCTTGCAAAAATATTAATTTTATTTTTTTGTAACAGGTGACCAGAAATGGAGAGAAAAGTAAGCAGAATCTGTCTTGCTTCTGAACCTGATGTAATTCATTTTCTACAAGTGGCTTGGGAGAAAACACTGGGATCTGGTTTTGTTATTACACTTACTGATGGTCAGTCAGCATGGACCGGGACAGGTAATATTCAAAGCAAATTTTTTAAAAGTGAAATTTCGGTAATGTGCTGTTCTTCAGTCCTCAGTGACACTTCAGATTAAGGTGTTTCTTTAGTAGATTCTGGGTAAAATTAACATTGCTGTACTTGTTATTGCGTCTAATTTACATTATAATATTTAATGCCAGTTTCTATAATAGGAGGATAGAGAAATAAGCATCTGCCCCAGCAAATTCTGGTTACTAGTTGAGTCTTAAAACTTGGGGTTGGTCAGGGTTTTTAAATGATCTCTTTTTACAAAACATAAATAGTACTTTATACATGTATTTTTTTTTCAGGACCCCAGGGAAATATTGGGAGGCATAGGGAGGTGGGTTGGCTGGGCCAAGGGATTTGTTAGCTTGGTGGAGTGGGGTGGTGGTGATTTTCTTTTTATTTTAGACACTTATTGTTTGAATTATTTTCTAGTGAACATGTATTACGTTTGTAACAAAAACAAAACAGTATTAGAGATTTTGTAAACCAAGGTTTTCAAACCCACATGTGGGATTTTGGCTATTATTTCATGAAATAAACTTTAAATTTTTTCTGTCTTTGGCAGTGATCTTTTAAAAAGTCTAATGGCCCTGAAATTATTTATGGAACATGGCAGTTATAAAGTGAAAATATATAGAATTATGTTTTGCTCATATAGTGAAGTTTTTATACTCTTATAATTTTTGAAAGATTTGAAAAACTATTTCTGTAGTTATGCAACAGTCCTTTCTAGAGTTATGTTGTAAATAATTTTTAGGTAAAATAATTTTGGCATGTTAATTTACATACCATTTATATATATTATTAATTTTGAAATATTTCCCTAAAACTTGTTACTGTAATTATTATATCTTCTAAAATTACACAGTGAAGTTTTATTTCTTTCTTGGATGTTACAAATTCTGTTACACAGTACAGTCAAACTGAATTTATAATTGCAGGGTTTTTAAAAAAAAAAAACTCTTCTTTTATGACAGGGTAAGGCATGCTGATGTAAGTATTAATAAAATAAAGAAAATTCAAGGATAGTGTTTGCAGTACGTATTATGGGATCTATTTAAGCTGTAAACTTCTATGTAAGAGAAACCAGTTGTTGCTTGGTTGTTGCCATGTAGGAGTGGGAGGAAAATTTTCAGGTTAGCTCTATTTATGCTAGTGTACCCAAGTGGCAATAGCTCTGTTTTGGAAAGGGGGTGCACAGGCCTGAAGATAATGGCAGGAGGTTAATGCCATTTGTCTGGACAGAAGAGCAGTTTCAACCATACAGCCCAGGAGGCAGGTCCTAGGTGAAGTGGTTGCTTGTATGTAAGAAATACTGTATTTGTAACTTAGATGTTCCCAACTGACAAATGGCTTATTGTGTATAATTAGTTCTGATTAGACAGATGACCTTGAGATGCTTTAAGAGCCTTAATTATCAAAAGAAAATACTAAATTCTAATTTAGTTAGTAAACCTCATTCACTAAAGCAAAGAACAATATTATGTTGTTTGAATTTTTTTTTTTTATCATTAAGGATTGGGAAGAAAAGAATACACTGATGAACTCTTAAATCTTGATTTAACCAGAAATTTAAGCTGAATTTACATTTATGGAACAATTTGTGTATGTCATAAAAAATGTGCTGGCAGTTGTTCTTAATATTATTATTATCAATATTGTTTCACTAGATTCATTAGGAGCAAGGAATGCATCTGATTTTTCTGTCACTCATTCTTTATAAGTATCTAGACCAGTGCCTGGGATCTACATGCTCAATAGATATTCTTTGGAAGGATGCCTCAAATGTATAAAACTTCCTAGGAAAAAAAAGTGAACCATTTATTTTAGAATTAACATTTTTTAATGAAAACTCCAGTTTCATATTTATTTATTGTTGACATTGATCAGAAATACAGTATGCTTTTGCCATTTTTTTTAGCTAATGAATAGTGTGAGAAAAATGTGTTAGAAAACTTCCATATCCTTTGTGTTGTTAACATTTTGGCTTGCTTACTAACCAGGCTTTCAAACAGAAAATTTTATAGTGCACCATATATGGTTGTTTTATTTTCAAAGACACTAAAGTTTTGAATCTCATAAATGTTTTATATATCTTTCATTATTCATTTCTGTTTTCTTGTATAAATTTCAGGGACAAAATATCAAACCAAATAATATAATTGTTTCCATGGTTAGTTGGGGTTTATTATGTGAATATGATTTGGTTTGGCACTTTATAGAGACAATAACATGATTAAGAACATTGAAACAATTACATAATTGAAACTTGAAGATGGATTTCCTTCCTATACCTCATCCTGTTTTTTTTTGTACAATTTTTGATTGCTGCAACCTTCAATTTGGATAATTTTTTTTCTTTTTTCATTTGAGTGAAATTAAAAGGATGTGGGGTTCCTTTTAATCTCCCACACACTAAATTCACTGATTTCTTTTCCAATAGTAATGTTTTTTTTTTTTTTAAAGATTTTATTTATTTATTTGAGACAGAGAGAATGAGAGAGACAGAGAGCACATGAGAGGGGGGGGGTCAGAGGGAGAAGCAGGCTCCCCACCGAGCAGGGAGCCCGATGCGGGACTCGATCCCGGGACTCCAGGATCATGACCTGAGCCGAAGGCAGTCGCTTAACCAACTGAGCCACCCAGGCGCCCTCCAATAGTAATGTTTTATCTAATGAATGTTTGAGGTCTCATTATCATATGGTCTATCATCACTTCAACATTATAGAGGACTGTATCGCAAAGTTAAGTCACAAAGTAGGTTAATGATTGATGACTATTATGTGACCTTTATAACTCCATCAGTCAGCAGTAAGAAACTTAAATCACCCATCTCTGGAGTAGTTCGTTGAGAAGTAGACTTTATTAATACATTTATTATCGAATAATTATATTCATTTATATTTGTTCTAAACATTGATATTTGGTGACCTATATGGAGATTATGTGACAGAGTTCAGGGGAAAAAGGATTTTTAATAAATGCAGTAAAGTAGGTCCATGCTGTGATACCAACAAGCTCTCTAATGTGATGATAAGGCTGTCTTCAAAGCACCAACACAAACTTAGGCTATGCACAGTCTTCGGTTCATTATACATAAGGATCCAAAAGAAAAAAATCTTCCTTTCCTTACTTACATCTTCATCTACCCACAAATATTGTTAAAATGCTGCTTTCTTGGATCCTATGTGTCTGAGAACAATTCCTTGGTTTTTGGTCATGTTGGCCTGCTCACTTTTTATGCTATTATTATGTGGTTCAGCTGTATCCTTGCTGATTTTTATTATTTCCATGGCTTTTATTTCTGGTCACCAAAGTTTTTGGAAGAGTGAATGCTTACAGCTGTGCTTCTTCCAGATGTTCTTAGCACAAAATTCAAAACTGGTGACCACACTGTTTTTCCAGGCCTGAAGTTCTAAATAGGCAGTCAAAATTTCACATTTACTATTAATGGAAATATTCAATTAAACTTTTTCTTAATTTTTTCTCACAGTTTTTAAAGGGGAAGTATAAATAGAAAATTTTCTTTCATATTTTTTTCTCTCAAAAATGAAATATTCCATAATAATAGAACAGCGTTCACAGGTGGTGTAACGTAAGAGAATATCTAAGATGTCAGCACTTGAATTAGGGTACATGAGGCTGGAATTCTGTCTGTTTGTTAAACTTTTGTATCCTTGGTGCCCAGAATAGTACCTGGCACATAGTTGGTGCTGAGTAAGCATTGTTTTAAATAAGTGAATCAAACCAATAAATGCTATGAAATATTTTCAGATACATATTTTTTCATTTTAATGAAATTTAGAATGCTTTTCACTGGATGTTTTATCAGTAGGCATACTTTATTTCTTGTGTTTTTTTTTTTTTAAGATTTTATTTATTTATTTGAGAGAGAGATAGGGAGAGAGAGCATGAGCAGCGGGGAGAGGGAGAAGCAGGCTCCCCACTGAGCAGGGAGGCCTGATTCAGGGCTCGATCCCAGGACCCCAGGATCATGACCTGAGCCAAAGGCAGATGCTTAACTGACTGAGCCAACCCAGGCGTCCTCTTTTGTATTTTCTGTAGTTGCATTAAAGGTGGTTTCTACAGATTTATTTCCTATTTCTCTATGAAATATTTTCTCTTCTTAGGTATTTATAACTCTTCAGAATTACCCAACACAAAATATGAAATTGTTCCTTAACTAGGAAGCATTAGTCTTCTTATTTTTGTTTTTGTTTCTTTTTTTTTTTTTTCAGAAGAGCTAGTAAGGTAACTGAAAGGTCAATAGATTTGATAAATAGATTTGATGGTGGTGATCATCTTAAATATGCATCTGCTTCAGAGAGAGACAAAATATATGAAAGGATTTTAGAAGCTGTAAAATCACATAAAAATATAAAAGTTTTTATTCTTACCTCTTTTTGACATCTGTGTTGAGATTCATATTTCACTATCAGAAATGACCAAAAATGGATAATGAAAAATATATGGATATGCTTCAAAATTCTCTTACTCTTTGCCTGTCATGGGGCTTCCAGACATACTTGATAGGACACAGACCAAAGGTATGAAAATCTGTGTTATATTTTAGGGATTCTTTAGTCAAGCTTTTATTGATTTCTGTAGTATGTCCTAGTAGTGTGTTTTTTTAATTCCGTGGAAGGAAATAGTTTTTCCAGTGTCCCATATCTGCCTCACCACAAAACCAAACAACCAAGAGACCATAAGTACGAATCTGTTTGACCACTTAATCTACTCCATGGCCATAGACCATTACTTGATCTGAGCATCAGTTTTATCATTTGAAACATCTTTCAGTGTTATAAGGAATAAAATCGATAGATGTAAAAGTATATATATAAAAGTATAGAACCACATGAGTCTTTCATCATTGTACTAGTGGGAACTGACACAGGAAACCACCCAACCACATGCACACATTCCAAACAAATGTTAGATTAAATCTTATAATTTTAAAAGCAAACAGATAACAGTGCAGCTTTTGGATGTAAGAAAGGGAACCCTCCAGGTGCCATCTATGAAGAAGTGTCTGAAAACCAAAGTGGTTAATAGGAACTAAAGCTTAACTATAGGTTCATGGAATATCTGAATTAGATATATGTCTTAATGACTGTGGGTGTAGTACCTAAGTGGGGTGGAATGTTGAGACGGTAGGCCTCTTAAGGAACTGGAACTGAGCTCTCAATGTAAAGAAAGGAAACTGAAAGGTATCTTGTTAATGAAATCATCTTAAAAAAGCAAAACAAAACAAAAACAAAAGACTACTCTCTGGTTTGAAGATGCAGTGTAGAATCAAACTAGTCACTAAGAGCTGTGAGTGGATAAAAGTCCAAACAAAAATCAGAACCCTGAGTCTCTGTTATGTAGGGATGTGGGATGGGGGATTTAAGATTGAACTCTTTGCTTCAAGAGTAAAAACCAAGTTAAGAAATTAACCTTCAAAACTGGTCCAGAGCTGTTGAAACCTGTAGAGACTCCAAGAAAGGTAAACTAGCAATCTGGATTCAAGGCCAGCGCTGTTGCCCAGAGCAGATGATACTCTGGCTAGAGGAGAGCCTTGTTCAAACATTGCAAAGCATGAAAGGGAAAAAAACAGAATGAGAATGTGTCAGCAGTAGAAATGGAGTTAATACTCCAGGAACCATGCATAAAGACTGACCTGAAAGAGATCTTAAATATGTTTAAGGCCTTCAAATATTTAAAGGAAGGGTGTGGCAAGAACAGGATATTATGAAAAAGAAAGAGAATATCAGTCTAGAATTGAGAATATAATTGTTGAAGTAAAAATCTCTGTAGATGAGTAAAGCATCAGCTTTCAGTATACCTAGATGGGAGAACTGGAAGCCGGATCTGTGATATAATGTGTGTCAAACAGGTGACACTCAATAAATATTAATTCTCTTCTCTTTCATTCCTCATCACCTACCTTCATCCACCTTCTTTATTTTTTGGCATATAATGAGATGAGAAGAATGAACTCCCATTTTTACTTTAATTCGACTCAGCCCATGTGAGTGAGAAATAGACTATTGACTATTTAATCTCTTTAATAATTGAGGCAAGGAAGAAAGATGTTATAAAATACTGAACTTATTAATCATTATTAAGAAATAATTTATCGGCTTTGACCTAGGAGCAGGTATATAAGATGGTAGTTTTTCTAGTAATTTACAATGCATGTATTTCATCTGAGGACAGAGGAAAAAAAAAATGCAAGGAATCTAATGTTTTTCAGATGAGATTTGAGACTAAATTAATGTGTTTCTTGAAAATTGCTAGTTCAAAGGTATAATTTGACTTAAAAATGTGTGGTATGGGGATTGGTTTTATCTTTTGTTTAAATATCTGTTACATAAGTGATAAATTAGTAGCAATAGGTAATAAATACGTACTCATGTTTAGAAATATATTTTTCATGTCAAAACTTTTTATTAATGTTTCCCATAGTTTCTGAGTCCGAGATTTCCCAAGAAGCCGATGACATGGCATTGGAAGAAGAGAAATATGTTGATGAACTGAGAAAAGCATTGGTATTAGGAGGAGGACCAGCTGATGCATACAAATTTGATTTTTCTAGAGAGTCTTGTCATTTCTCCTTTGAGAAAAACCTGAAAGATGTTTCAGTAAGTAAAACTTTCCATAATATTATAAGTGGTAAAATGTCAGAGCCCTTATTGAGGAATTATCTAAGTAACTAGCTTATTATTCCCAGAATACCTGGGAAATAGAAGTGTGAAATGTACTTGGCTTTCAAGTTGGAAGAATGCTTCTTCATTCAACGTTATTCATTAAGTGCTTCATACTTATGAATTGCCAAAAATAATTAATTAGAAAATGTATTGAGTTTTAATGCTTTAAAAATAAGTATTATAGAGACAATTACATGAATGAGCAGTTCTACCAAGTGGGGTCAGAAACTTTAGACCGTTGAGACAGGGTTTATTGTAATAAGTTTTGGGAAATACTGATTTTAAGAAAGAAGATAATTTATTTACCATTGAATATTTAATAATTATAACTTATTCTCTACTTTATTAGAGTGTATAGAAATTACAAAATGAGATAACTAAGTGCAGTAAGACATATCATTAGGCATTAAAGTATTTTATTTATATGTCAAACTTAGAAATACTAAAATAGAAATAACATTCAACCCAGGCTTTTGAAGGCTTGCATGCTTTATAGACAAGGATATCTGCTACTTGTCCTGTTTAGTTCCTGTACCAGTTCAGATCAAGGTGGGCAGCTTTGATATGTATCAAAAATATTTATCAAAATTTACTGCTTGTATATTTTGCTCAAGTTTATGGGATAATTAGAGGTTGAATTATTTGCTTTTGCCAGTGGTTTATATTCTGATACGAGGTCTTTAGTAGAAGAAAGGGAGGGAAATCTTTAGCACATTAAGGTTAGAGACAGTATTGACAATTTGTGTTGGAACTAAATTGAGTTTAAAAAAATTCCTTGAAAATGACTCTAATTCAGAACGATTAAAGGGATTTCACCAATTACAGAAACATGTAAAGTAACAGATGGGATCATTATTTTGAAATGTATGTTAACCTATAGAGAATAATACAGTTGAATGTATGCCAATTTATGTAAGTTTCAATATGCTGAGGTCCTTAAAATGATAGTTTAGAATGGGTTAAGAAAGGTTTGAACTGGCTGCTGAAATTTGGTTATTTATCACAAAGTCTTCTTTCCTATGACCGAAGCCCAATCAGATGATGTTACGTACTCCTAAGACTGCTGAGTGTTTCTTCTAATATTTTGAAGCAGATCATTTTCAGATTGGGAGTTCTGCCTTTTCCCATTCAATGAGCATTTGTATGTAATGACTAACATTAGGTGGTTTGCTGCATCGGGGTTGGATGGGGTACTTACCATGCTTGGCAGTACATCTGATTTTGCTGCTTTTGTGAAGAAAGAACTTCAAGTATTCATAACCTACGTCTTTTACAGTTGGCTTGGCATGAATCAGCATTAAAAACTGTGACAATTATCCTAAAAGATACTTGCTTACCACCCTGAACATAATCAACTTTATTGAGTCAGAACCACGAACCACTCACTAGCTATTAACAGGTTTTCTCAAGAAGTGGAAATAGAATAAGAGATTCCCAGTAATGCAGAAGTGCATTGGTTCCTTGAAGGATATGTCTTAAAGCACTACACTGCAGTTTAGATAGCTGCCTCCTTATTTATTGTCTATTAAATTTGCTTATGAGAGAAAGAAATGCTACTCTCGGGACAGCTGGACAAGTTTATTTGTGACTTGACTTACTTGAGGGATATTTTTGGATATTTGAATGAAATAAAAGTTCTACTTTGCGGTGCTGTAGTCTGCCTTATGGATGCAGATGAGAATCACAAGTTCATTTAGCCAAACTGCCATGGGGATCTTCCAGTGCTTCAGGATGTGCTTCTGCAAATTGAATTTGAGTGACAATATCTTGTAAATTCGTCTGCTGGCAAAAATATGCAGACAATTAGAAACATGGCAGAATACTTTTTAAGGCTTATAGTGCTTTGGGTGACCTAAAAATTTAAAAGGAATTTGTAATCCTTTCCTTGATGACACAGACATCTGATTGTTGCAAAAATGACCTCTTATACTTAGAAAAAAAGAAAAGAATGAACGTAGATTCAATTCAGAAAGTTGTAGTGAATTCTGTTGTTTGTTGACATAAGGTTACTCTCCCATGGCAAAGAATATTCTGTGAGTCCTAAGTACATTTACTACCAGATTCATACTCTCAGAATCATGGTTTTCAGGCATTTGTTGCCATCAGTTCAAGAAGTTTTATGTTTTTAATTCTGCATTGGAGATCACTGAGTAATTTGAACACTTCGAGTATTCAAGTCATATAAGACTTACTTGGAATTTATATAAAATGTTCTTTTTAAAAAAAAAATTTTTTTTTTAGAGGCATCTGGCTGGCTGAGCATGTGAGTCTTGATCTCGGGTTGTGAGTTCAAGCCCCACCTTGGGCATAGAGCTTACTTAAAAAAAAAAAAAAAACTTTTTAAAAGGAAGTAACTACTCATTTTTGTACTTAAAAAGACCTGAGTTTTTGGGAATGTCATCTTGTGTTTTATTAGAGTGAAAGAATTTTCAATCCGAAGCAATGAAATATTTAAAATGTATAATGTGTATGTTGCACATTTTTTGGAGGGAGCATGTGCATAATTTTCATGAGATTGCTTTTGAGATCATAACACCCAAAATTTCATTTACGCTCTAATTAGTTTTTCTTTATAGATAACCTAGGTTTTTTAAATTTTAGATTAATTCCCATTGGAATAAGTGTTGAATGATCAGCAAGACATTAACTCTTTTTCTCCATGTGGGACAAACCTCTGGGACCCTTCCTGCCCCATCACCAGTGTTCTTCAGTTGGCAGTAGATTATTCTAGATGAAAACATACTCTCGTGCAAGCATTTAGAACTCATTATGTCTCTACTGTAAGTAGTAGCCCGATTCAAGAGATTATTCATATACTTTGTGTCATGGCTTTTTCTCTGCCATTCACAGTTCATACTGATTTTGCAGTATATTCTTCGTCATGCAAACAATACATCTTAATAATGTTTTCCTTTTTTGCTTTTATAAGTTGATCTGTTTCTTCAGAAAAAATTATGAGTTACAAAAAAAAGAACATGTAATAATTTTTGATAAGAATAACCTTGGGCTCATAATTTGCTTGCTCATACCTCTGTTTTCTCATCTCTCAAGTTTTAAAGTGATTTCTTGGGTTCATTCCAGGTCATCTAACATACTAGTCTTGTATTTCTAAAAATAACCCTAATGAAGGAAAGCCATGAATTTTGAAGAACAAATAAACATGATACACACACACACACACGAGAATTGGCTACAGGTTTCTGTTAGAATTAAAGTCTATTTTCATTTCCTTTTCCTTTGTCTCCCTTGCCCCCACCATGATAAACTGGGATACAGTTTAGGCTGAATATTTGACAACTTAAGTACCGTGGAGGCATATTTTTCTCTGATTTAAAAATCCAAATAAGCAGTCCTGGGTTAATATGATGGCTTTATGAGGTTGGAGGTCCAGGCTTCTCTAATCATGTTGCTTTGCCATTTTTAACAGGCAGTTTTTATCTCATGGTCCAAGAAGGCTGCTCTAGCTTCAGGATATGTTCACCTTTTAGGCAACAGGACTGAGTTAAGCAGAGGATAAAGAGCCTGTCCATTTTCTTTAAAGCCATCACCTAACGTTGCATACATTGCTTTTGCTTACATCCCATTGTCTAGAACTAAGTCACAAAGCTTCACCTAGCTGCAAGGGAATCTTTAGCTGTGTCCTATGCCCAGAAATTTCCATTACTGTGTAAAAAGGGGAAGGAGGGGTACTGAAGGACAACTAGCAATCTCTGCATGTTAACGTTTAAGAGAGATTGAAATGTCATTTAGAAGGGTTTACTTTTATTGTTACGGGGGTATTTCTGTAGTATTTTCCTTACAAATAATTGTTTAGGTTGTATTTTAGTTACAAAAATGTTGCAAATATAGTGAGGAACAGGCTAGTTTGTATCTTGCTATATATTGTAACTTTTTTTTTTTTTAAAGATTTTATTTATTTATCTGACAGAGAGATACACAGTGAGAGAGGGAATACAAGCAGAGGGAATGGGAGAGGGAGAAGCAGGCTTCCCATGGAGCAGGGAGCCCGATGCGGGGCTCGATCCCAGGACCCTGGGATCACGACCCGAGCCGAAGGCAGCCGCTTAACGACTGAGCCACCCAGGCGCCCCTATATTGTAACTTTTTAAGTAAAAAAAAATGCATTCCAAGTTCAAACAACTTCCCTACAGTAATTGAATTTTCATTCTCAGATGTATAAAAATGAGGTAAAATAACTTAGCCAAAAGCAGCCAAAGTTGTTTGTAAAAACACTAGTCCAGAATCCTTTATTACTACCATGTGTCCCTGTGGTTTGGGGACTTTGAATTCACATGGGTATTTCCAGATGAAATATCAGAATTTGAGCATTTATTATGATACTCTGCGAAAGACTTTGTCAAAAATAGTAATGGCTTTCAGGTTTGTGGGAGTATGGGTTGCAAATGTGTTGTTTGAATGCCTGAAAAAAAAAATAATAGTATGTCTTTATGTCTGTGATAGAAATATTTGTATACATCTGCCATTTTTATATTAAACACTTTATAATTTCCTGACCTCTTTGGAATGTGGGAACTAAATGAGTAATGTAAGTGGTACAGAAATCCTGCTCAAAGTATATGCTCTCTAGTTAAGCCATAGGAAAGACATTAGAATTTTTACTTTAAGAAAATTATTAATTTTTAGCTATACTATTTAATCTTTGAGAACTTTTGCTTTTTCTTGCTTCATATTGCTCAACTTTGATTTAAAATGTTTTCTTCTTTTTTTTTTTTTAAAGATTTTATTTATTTATTTGAGAGAGAGAGAATGAGAGAGAGCACATGAGAGGGGGGAGGGTCAGAGGGAGAAGCAGACTCCCTGCCGAGCAGGGAGCCCGATGCGGGACTCGATCCCGGGACTCCAGGATCATGTCCTGAGCCGAAGGCAGTCGCTTAACCAACTGAGCCACCCAGGCGCCCAAAAATGTTTTCTTC